CACTAAAAATGTACATTACATCATTCCTCCCCCACAGCCTTCAATCCCCCACAACAAGCCAAGTAATTTGAGCCCCTCTGCAAGGCCTGCCATAGCCTCCCTTTGAGGTCTGTGTTTTCCCTATTTATCGTACCTGGGAGACTGACAGACATATGTTTTATGATACATTATATATTAGGCTTGGCTAGAGGCTCCATTTCCATTAAAGATGACTAAAGCACTAAGTTATAGCTGCCTGGACCTCTCCTCCCATTTGTCCTCTGAAGCTATTCTCTAAGCTGTATTTCTCTCTTTTAGTATGACATGTGCTCACAAAATGGACAGAGCTGGGCCGTTAAAAACTGAAGACTCTGCTTCTACAACACTTTTTAGAACCCAGCGCTGGAGTCCTCTTCTTGAATTCCTCCAGTTCTCAGTTCTGACAATTGCTCGAAATAGACAAAGCTCCCCAAAGCTGCAAAATCACATCTCTCTTTAAAACACCAGTTAAAACTGAGAAAGATAAATAAAAACAGATCTACTTTTTCAAAATGGGGTTATGCGAGTTGCTGCTCCCTTCAGGCATTTGTTCTGTAATCTGCATGCAGTTCCTGCAGAGTAATTGGTTAAATGCTCACCCTCATTCATAAGACACACACTTGTGGGAATTACTGCTTTTCAACGTTGTTTTTAAATTTAGAATGATGCCTTTAGACCAATTTAGACACTGTGTTATTGCTCATGTAATTAATAAAACAAGCAAAAGACAGTGCATAAAAGTAGAAGAAACATCAGGAAAAAAACCAACCTTCATTAGCATCATAACCTATGAATTAAGCCTGGTAAGGGGAAAAAATAACTCCATTTATTCTATGCAAGCGTCATTGATTAATTGAAAATACAGGTCAAAGGTTTTTATTTGCATCCAGCAGCTCTGCTTTTCCAAGAAGCTTTGTGTGGGAAGGAGTTCCCAGTGGCACATACACACGCAGAGAACCCATAACACCACAGGAGCCGTTCTGACTATGAAGGATGTTCAGCTTCATGAGTATATTGACAACCAGGCCAGAGAGACACTGAGTGAAATAATGGACAAACAGACACAGAATAATTTATAGATGTATAAATATGTAAAGAGGAAGAGAAACATATGCCTTAGTGATTTTTTTAACCTGGAAGTTTCCTCCATAGGTGGTTTTCCACGCTCTCATTTCCCACAATTCACTTCTTATGAAGGAAAACATTCCCCACTCCTTCTTGATTCTCCATCCTGAAGGCTAATCCTCAAGTGCCTGTGTGGAGACCCCATCTACACCAGCCTTCACATTCATTGCCACCTGGAGTGACAAACTTCTGGGGCATTGACTGATCATCCTCTCTCTGAATACAGGATGCTCACTTCCTTTGTAAGTCTCCCTTTGAAAGTTGATGAGATATTAGGAAGATATATCAATGGAAGTTGCTCCACCCTTGCCCCACCCAACATGTGGGAACACTACTCTGGATATGAATCTGCTATGTTCTGAGGAAACTTCCAATTTGGGTGTTGTCTTTGGCAAACACAACCACAGAAGGCCATTACTGGGGCAGGCTGTCTGGAAGGAACTTGGCAAATCCTCCTCCCAAAGGGTAACAATAAAACTGGACCAAAACTAGTCAAAAACAACCATTTCTGGAATCTGGAAATTGGTCAAAGGCAGAAAACAAACTTATAAGCACTTATTCAAGAAAAACTATTGAATCTCAGTGAGAACAGGGAGAGTTAACTTTGTTTTTGCCTAAGGCTATTCCATGCCCTAGCCCCCAACTCCAAGGCATAGGCAGTGCTACCAGGGCAGGGCAGGCCTGAGCGCCAGTGGCTCCACTGCTAGAGGAGCTCACATGATTTGGAGTGAGTATGGAAAAACCTATGCCCAGGGGCATTTTTGAAAACAATAGCAATCTTGGCAGCACATAATCAGAGAAGACCAAAATTGAAGGTAGTCTGACATACTGGTTGGGCATACCAGCAGAAAGGTGAAAAGTTTATCAGTGAGATCTGGGGGACAAGACAGCCAGTCAGCCTTGGTAAGCTCCCACATATCCCTGGGGCTCTAAAAGGCTATATGTGTGCACAGGGTTGTGCTTACACTCAGAAGAAACTGGAGAGGGCCTTAGTAGACTACTTGCCCCTGGATGAATGTGAAACCTTGTAAGCACAGAAAATAAAAGCTGTGAAGAACTCATAAACTGCGTAAACTTTGAATGCTATTTCCCAAACATACAGATCCATTGACCTTACTGACTCAAGGTGTTTAAACACAACGTCTGACCAATCTTTCACTAACCACTAAGCTATGCTGACCAAGGAGTGACCCCAGAAAGCCAGGCTTAAAAATAAAATCAAGAATTGTTTTTTTTAATTTTTGGGGTGGTACCTATCCAAAGAAAATGAAAACACTAATTCAAAAAGACATATCCTGGGGGCCAGCCCTGTGGCCGAGTGGTTAAGTTCACGTGCTCCGCTACAGACAGCCCAGTGTTTCATCAGTTCGAATCCTGGGCACGGACATGGCACCACTCATCAAGCCATGCCGAGGTGGTGTCCCACATGCCACAACTAGAAGGACCCACAACTAAGAATATACAACTATGTACCAGGGGGCTTTGGGGAGAAAAAGAAAAAAAAAACAAAGGACAAAAAACAAAACAAAACAAAAAAAGACATATGCATCCCTATTTTCATTGCAGCATTATTTACAATAGCCAACATATGCAAACAACCTAAGGGTCCATTGATGGATGAATAGATAAAGAAGATGTAGTTTATATATACAATGGAATACCAAGCAGCCATAAAAAAGAATGAGATCTTGACATTTGCAACAACATGGATGGACCTTGAGGACATTATGTTAAGTGAAATAAGTCAGACAGAGAAAGACAAATACCATATGATCTCACCTATATGTGGAGTCACAAAATAAAACCCCAAGCTCATAGATACAGAGAATGAATTGGTACTTGCCAGAGGCAAGGGGTAGTGGGTGGGTGGAATAGGTGAAAGGGGTCAAAAGGTGCAAACTTCCAGTTATAAAATAAATAAATCATAAAGATATAATACACAGTGTGGTGACTATAGTTAATAATACTGTAGTGCATATTTGAAAGTTGCTAAGAGTAAATGTTAAAAGTCCTCATCACAAAAAAGAAGAAAGTTTTTTGTAGCTATGTATGGTGACAGATGTTAACTAGACTTATTGTGGTGATTATTTCACAGTATACACATATATTGAATCATTACATTGTACACCTGAAACTAATATTTTATTTGTTAGATATACCTAAATAAACAAAATTAGTTTTTAGAAAACTTGACTAGACGCATCAGTAGCTGCACACTACTGGAGAGACAGACACTATATAGTTAGTCCAGGCAAGTCACTAAATAAATAAACAAAAAAATCCCCCAAAATAACAAAAACAAACCCAGGGGAGAGGGGAATCAGAATCCAGAGTCACTGCAATATATTATCAAAAATGTCCAGTTGTCAGCAAAAATTTATGAGAAATGCAAAAAACAAAAGCAAAAACAGGACAGTGTGACTCATACACAAGAAAAAAAGGCAGGCAATAGAAACTGTCTCTGAAAGACCCTAGGTGATGGACTTATCAGACAAAGACTTCAAAGCAGATATTATAAATGTGTTCAAATAATTAAAGGAAACCATGTTTAAAGAATTAAAGGAAAATATGACAATAATTACTAATCAAATATAGAATATCAATAAAGAAATAAAAATTATTTTAAAAGGGCCGTTTTGAAATTCTGGAATTAAAATGTAAAATAACTGAAATGATAAATTCACTAGAGGAGCTCAGCAACAGATTTAAGCTGGCAGAAGAAAGAATCAGCAAACTTGAAGATAAATCAATAGAAATTGTTCAATCCAAAGAAAAGAAAGAAAACATAATGAAGAACTATAAGCAGAGCCTGAAAGACCCATGAGACACCATTAAATGTGCTAACATACGCATACTTGGAGTCTGAGAAGGAGAAAGGAGGGAGAAAAGGGCAGAAAAAAAATTTGAAGATATAATGGCCAAAAACTTTCCAAAATTGATCAAAAATATTAATCTATACATCCAAGAAGCTCAATGAACTCCAAGCAGAAAAAACAAAGAAATCCACACTGAGATACATCATAGTCAAAGCATTGAAAAGCAAAGAAAAAGAGGAAATCTTGAAAGTAGTAAGAGAAAAACAATTCATCACATACGACAGGGAGGAGCACTCAATAGTTTTAACAGCTGATTTATCATCATAAATGGTGGAGGCCCAGAAAGCAGTGGGATGATATATTCAAAGTACTGACAGAAAAATTACTGTCCACGAACAATCCCCTGTTCAGCAAAACTATATTTCAAAGACGAAGGCAAAATAAAGACATTCCCAGACAAACATGACCTGCATTACCAAGAATACCAAAGGAAGTTCTTCAGGCTGAAAGGAAATGGCACTAGACAATAATTCAAATCCACACAAAGAAATAAAGAGCATAAGCAAAGGCAATTATATAAATAAAAGAGTTAGGATAAAGACAGTTTTTCTCTTTTTTTCTCTTAACTTATTTAAAAGACAATTGCATAAAAGAATAATTATAAAACTATATTTTTGGGAACATAATATAGAAAGAATTGATATATGACAATAATATCACAAAGGAGGGGGGATGGAATAGAGCTATATTGGAGCAAAGTTTCTACATTTTGCTGGCATTAAGTTAGCATTATCTGAAATATATTGTTTTTAGTTAAGTGCATACTGTAATATCTCCAGATGAACCACTAAGAAAATCATTCCAAAAAATATAATTAAAAACAAAGGAATTAAAACGGTACACCAGAAAAAAATCATTTAACACCAGGAAGGTAGTAAAGGAGGAAAGGAGAAACAAAAAGACATGAGATAGAAAACAAATAAAAATTAGAAAATATAATACAAATACATCGATACCTACATTAAAAAGAAATGATTTTGCATACTTTGGTAGCACATACACAAAAGTGTCAATGAGACAGAGAAGATTAGAATGGCCCTTGTGCAAAGATGATATGCAAAATCATGAAATGTTCCATTTTTTTTGAGCAAAAAAAGCCAATCCCAAAGGGATTGCTTGTGCAATATATAAGCATAATGCATGCTTCCATTTATATAACATTTTCGAAATGACAAAGTTTTTGAAATAGAGGTCAGATTAGTGCTTGCCAAGGGTCAGGGAGGGGCGAGGGTGGTGGTGGCGGGGAAGTGGGAGTGGTTATAAAAGGGCAACATGAGGGATCCCTGTGGTGTTGAAGCTGTTCAGCACCCTGACTGTGGTGGTAGATACACTAACATATGCAGGTGATAAAATTGTGTAGGATTTAATAAACTCACTGCCCCAGCCCCGTCCAACACACAAATGAGTACAAATAAAACTAGAGAAATCTGAATAAGAGCTATGGATCTTATCAATGTCAATATCCAAGTTGTAATATTATACTGTAGTTTTGCAAATGTTACCATTGGAGAAAACTAAGCAAGGTGTACACTTTGTACTATTTCTGTACTATTCTTAGACTTACATGGAAATCTACAATTTGTACTATTTCTTAGACTTACATGGAAATCTACAATTATCTCAATTAAAATTTCAAATAAAAAAGTGAAAACATTAAACAGTCAAAAAGCAGACATTGTTAGACTGGATATAAAATAAGATCCAACTATATGCTGTATCTAAGAGACACATTTAGATTCAGAGATACAAATAGGTTGAAAGTAAAAGTATGAGAAAATAGACCATGCAAATAGTAACTATAAGAGAGATAAAGTTGCTATACTAGTAACAGACAAAATAGACTTTATGACAAACAATGTTACTACAAAGAAGGACATTTTATAATTATAAAGTATCATTCCAGTTACAAGATAAATAAGTCTTGGAGATATAATGTACAGCATGGTGACTATTAAAAAAACAAATAATTCTTTAAATTTTAATAAATAAATAAAGTATCATTAATCAGGAAGATATAACAATTATATACATGCCTAACAACAGAACTCCAAAATACATGAAGCAGAAACTGACAGAACTGAAGGGAGAAATAAACAATTCAACAACAATAGTTCAAGACTTCTATAGCCCACTCTCAATAATGGACAGAACAAATAGACATAAAATAGCAAAGATATAGAAGAATTGGACAACACTGTCAACCAACTCGACCTAACTGACATTAATAGAACACTCCACACAACAACAGCAGAATATATATTCTTTTCAAGTTCACATGGAACATTCTTGAGGATAGACCATATGCTAGGCTATAAAACAAGACTCAATAAATTTAAAAGGATTAAAATCATACAAAGTATGTCTTCCAATTACAATGAAATCAAATTATAGATCAACAAAAGAAAATTTGAGAAATCAATAAATATTTTGAAATTAAATGACACACTTGTAGATAATCAATGTGCCACAGAAGAACTTGCAACAAAATTAAAAAATGTTTTGAACTGAATGAAAATAAAAATAATATATCAAACTTTATGAGATAGATAAAACACTATTTCAGGAGATATTTATAACTTCAAATGTCCATACTTAAAAAAAGAAAGATTTCAAATTAATAACTTAAGCTTCTACCTTAATAAATGAAAAAAAAAAAAAGAGAAAACCAAACCCAAAGCAAGAGGAAGGAAGAAATAACAAAGATCACAATGGAAATCAATGAAATAGAAAACAGAAAACAGAGAAAATCAATGATTCCAAAAATTAGTTCTTTGCAATAATCAACAAAGTTGACAAGAATTTAGCTAGACTGACCAAGAAAAAGAAAGAGAAGACACAAATTACCAAATTCAAAGATGAAGGAGGAGATATCATTATTGGCCTTACAGAAATTTAAAGGATTAAATGGCAATACCATGAACAACTGTATGCCAGCACATCCAACAACTTAGACGAAATGGACAAATTCCTAGAAAGACACAAGTTATCTAAGCTGACACAAGAAGAAATAAAAAGTACGACCAAAGCTGTAACAAGGAAATTGAATTAGTAATTAAAAATCTTTCCACAAAGAAAAGTCCAGGCCAAGATGGCATCATTGATTAATTCAATCAAATATTTAAGGAAGTTAAACCAATCCTTCACAAATTCTTGAAGTGAATAGAGGAGGAGGAAACAATTCCCGACTCATTTTATGAGGCCAGTATTACTCTGATACCAATACCAGACAAAGACATGACATGAAAAGAAAACTACAGACAAATATCCTTCATGAATATAAATGCAAAAAATCCTTATACAAAATTTAAGTAAGGTAAATCCAGAACCATGTAAACAAATTACACACCACGCGGGCCGTCCCCACAGCCGAGTGGTTAAAGTTTTGCACTCTGCACTTTGGCGGCCCGGGTTCACAGGTTCGGATCCCAGGCGCAGACCTACTCCACTCATCGGCCATGCTGTGGAGGTATCCCACATACAAAGTAGAGGGAGATTGGCACAGACATTAGCTCAGGGCTAATCTTCCTCAAGCAAAAAAAAAAAGAGAAAAGTTGGCAATGGATGTTAGCTCAGGGTAAATCTTCCTCACCGAAAAAAAAAAATTACACACCAGAACTAAGTGATTATTTTTATCCCAGTAATGAAAGGGTAGTTTAACATGTGAAAATCAATTAACGTAATATACTATATTAATAGGATTAGGGACAAAAAGTACATCATCATCTCAATAAATTCAGAAAAAGTATTTGACAATATCCAATACTTATTCATTACAAAAACTCTCAATAGAGTAAGAATATCATTTACGAAAAACATACAGATAAAATCATACTTAACTGTGAAATACTGAATGCTTTCTCTCCAGGACAAGGGAATAAGGCAAGGATGTTCACTCGCACCAGTTTTACTCAACATTGTCCTGGAGGTTCTAGCTGGTGCAATCAGGCAAAAAAAAACAAAAAACAAGATGCATCCAGATTTGAAATGAAGAAGCAAAACTATCTCTATTTCCAGTTCTCTTTGAGTTTATCCTACTTGGAATTCTTTAAGTTTCTTGAATGTGTAGATTGATTTTTCTCATTATTCCTTCAAATATTCTTTCTGCCCCTTTCTCTTTCTCCTCTCCTTCTGGGACTCCCATTATGTGTACACAGGTCTCTGAGGCTCTCAAATGTCTTCATTCTTTTATCTTTCTCTTCCTCAGACTGTCTAATTTCAATTGACTGACCTATCTTCAAATTTTCTGACTTTTTTTTCTGTCTGCTTAAACCAGTTGTTGAGTCCCTCTAGTGAATTTTTCATTTCAGTTATTGTACTTTTCGACTCCAGAATTTCTATTTGGTTCCTTTTTATAATTTCTCTCTCTTTACTGATATTCTCCATATGGTGAAATACTATTCTCATACTTTCTTTTAGTTCTTTAGACATGGTTTCCTTTAGCTCTTTGAACATATTTAAAATACCTTTTTTAAAGTTTTTATCCAGAAAGTCCAACATTTAGGGTTCTTCAGAGACAGTTTCTATTGATTGTGGGGCTTTTTCCCTTCCATATGGGCCATACTTTGTTGTTTCTTCACATGCCTTATAATTTTTTTGTTGAAATCTGGATGTTTTGAACATTTTAATGTGGCAACTCTGGAAATCAGATTCTTCCTCGTCCCAAGAGTTTGTTGATGTTGCTACTTGTTGTTTGTTTGTTTAACAACTTTTCTGATCTAATTCTGTAAAGTCTCTATTCTTTTTCATGTTTGTCCACTAAGTCTCTATGTTAGTGTGGTGGTCAGTCAATGATTAGACAGAAATTTTCTTAAATTCCTGGAACAAAAAAATCTCCCAATCTTTGCAGAGAGGCTCTGCAAGCACACCTTCAACGTTCAACCAGGCTATTTACAACTCTGCCTTAGCCTTCACTTCTTGCCTGTACAGAGCTTCAAGGTCAGCCAGAGGTGAGAGCTTAGGGCCTTCTCAGGTCTTTCCTGAGCATGCACACAGACCTAGGCATGCATGAGGCCTTCTAGATTCCCAGGAATATGTCACAGTTTCTCAAAGCTCTTATTCTCCTACACATCTCAGCCTTTCCTCCCAAACTTTTTGGTTAGTCTATTGTTTGCCCCAATTGTTATCCATTGCTTCAGGCAGCAATGACTAAAGTATTTGCTTGTAAATGTTTCAACAAGTGTCCCCCAGGTAGTGACAATAGGACTGGGTAAGTTTGGAGTTAGGCGAGATAAAGACATGCCTTTTGAACAGATCTTCCAGAAAGCCAGCAGATGGATCAAATAAAGACAACTCTTTGCAAATGAGGTCCTTCCCCTCCCTCCAGTACTGGTACTGGGAATGCAGGCTGTTATTTTCAAGGCTATGACTGAGCTGGGGATTGGTAAATGAAACTAGGGTAAGTTAAAATGCCACAAAACTCTTGGCAATATTCAACCATTTTTTTTGAATAAGTTCTCCCTGGGTTGCTGCAAGCTTTTAGTTAGTTTCCAGAGTTCTGAAAAAGTTGATTCTGACAGTTTTTGCTACATTTTTTAATGCTTTTATGCAGGGGAAAACTTTTGGAATTCCTCACTTCTCCATTTTCACTGATGTCACTGTCTACTCTCATATGACATAATCCAATGTATATAAAATACCAAGGAATCCACTAAAAACTTATTAGCACTAATAAATGAGATCAACGAGATTGCATGATACAAGATTAATACACGAAAATCTATTGCATTTCTAGGTACTAATAACAAATCATTGGAAAATGAAATTAAGAAACAATTCCATTCATAATAGCATCAAAAAGAATACAATACTTAGGAATAAATGCAAGAAGAGAAATTTGTGGTTTGTACACTAAAAACTATAAAACATTGTGGCAAAAAATTAAAGAAAATATGAATAGAGAGGCATTCCATGTTCACAGATTGGAAGACTCAATGTCAAAAAGAAAGTAATTCTCCCCAAATTGATCTATAGATTCAGTGCAGTCCCTATCAAAATCTCAGCTGCTTTTCTTGCAGAAATTGAGAGGTTGATCCTAAAATTTATATGAAAATGCAAGGGACCCAGAATAGCCAAAGTAATCTCGAA